CTACTGACAGGGCTTGGCAGGAAGAAGCAAGCTCTACAGTTGCCTTCTGTTGCTAAAGCTCCCTTTGTTCTTCAACAGTGTCTGACACCAGGATCATGCCCATGGGAGAAGGAGGTGTGAAAGTCATAGGAGGCCCAGGTAATAAAATATCAAGCATCAAAAGACAGCAGGACAATGATTCAATTAGATTGCTTGCTTTACTGCCCTGAAGAAATGCTTTCAGGGAAGGCATTTCACAGGGATGTCTTCCACTCTGCCCTGTACCTCCATTTTCCTACTTGCAGTTGAGATATGAGGGCAAAACCTGTGTCCCTGAAGTGTCTCTGGTGGTCACTGTGAAGGATTTGGCAGAGAAAGCATTTCTGCTGTTGCTTTCTTAGATTCTATGTGCTTTTGCAGAAAGGAAGAATTGAAGCTTCTTGATGTGACAAAGAATAGTGAGAGCACCACTTTTCCCACTTGGGAAGAGAAGATGTGTCTGCTTCTCTAACATATGTCTAATTTTGGACCTTATTTGGCTTGAAAATAAACGCTGGCAGAGTGCAAACCTTGTTCTGCTGAAGAACTTACCAACTGCACTTCCTTTGTTAATTAATTCTACAAGGCTACAGCCCTTGTGAAGCACAAAGAATGCTCCAAATTCACCTTCCAGTGCTTCAAGTGGATGCTTGAACACAGCTTAGCTGCCTGTTGCAGCATAACCTGTCCGAGAGATGCTGAGATGTCAGAGTCCATAGAGCTGTCTGTCATTGCAGGAGCAGCCATAGAGACAGATGACAGCCTCAAGCCTTCCCTGGCAACAGAGGGACAGTCGAAAATGCATCTGCCATCAACAGTATGGAAGCAGCCCAAGGACACCAAGGACTGGGGAGATGAATACATTTCCAAAGAGCAACCAGAGAGAGGGAAAGACATGGGCCAAAGCAGATACAGCTCAGCAGACAACATAATATGTGAACCCTCTTTGGCTGGTAAGGAGTAGAAAACTCTGGCTAGGGAGGCTCAAAGCTGGTGTGAGCTGGCTGGTGACCAGCATCCATGGAGGGAGACACACAGGCCAGTTTCTGTTGCTGGGGGTAATCTCTCAGGGCCTCACACTCCAAGACCTCTGGAATATCTGTTGGGCTGTGTGACTGACAGAACCACTCTGTACCCAGGACAGCCCTTCTCCTTTCCAAGACTTGTCAGGTTCAGAGTACTGATGGGATTGCAGCAGAGTAGGTGCTTAAGTGGGTGAAAAATACAACTGCTTATTTTGCAGGGTTTCTTCAGGATGAGAAACCCTAATATGAGTTGTTTTGCCTTTGATTGCTTGTTTTGTTATTCTTAGAAAAATTTTGTATTCATACGGGGAAATACATCTGCTTTGGAGCTTTCTTAGCAAACTGAGGCACTGGTCATGGCTGGGGCATGCTGTAGCATCAGGGTGAAGTTTTACATTTTCAGTAAAGAAGACAGAAAAAGATGAGGCATTGATATAATTTTTAAACAAGTTTCTCCTTTCATGATCCCCTCACCAGTCTAACATGCAGCTGTCCTTGAGGTCAGTATTTTCTTATTTTTAAACTTAACCCTTATCTTCTGGAAGCCAAAAGGCAGAACATCGCCTTGGAGCTGCTGGAGTCAGAAAGGAAGTATGTCATCAACCTTTCCCTCATCCTGAAGATCAAGGCCACACTGCAAGGGCCAGATGTGAAAAGAAGCACCAAAGAGAGAAGGTATTTGATGTAATGTGCTCTCTGTCTTTTGGAGAGTTTGCTTCAGTCAATATTACTTCTGCATTATCACCTCATAAACTTTTCTTACATCCACACAGAAATCTTTGAACACTTAGTTTATTTCTAGTTGAAAACTGGAGGCACTGGGAGGTTTTTGCAGTCATTAAAGACATTCCTACCTGTCTCTTGCATCTTGTCCACAATCTTTCTGATTCTGGGTGAAATCAACATGAAGTGGCAGAAAAGCAGTAGCACATTTTGACCAGCTCTGCATCAGTGGGTTGTCTTGTGAAAGGGCCTGACAAATGGGACAACACACAAAGCTGTGGAGCTCTCCTCCAAGCTCTCAATGGGATGGCTCAGGGCCATGGTCCTGCATCATCAGCCACTGCAGCATTGCCTGAGGCTTTTTAGTGCTGCTAATTCTGGTCAGCTACTCAATGCATTGCAAGGAAAGCCTAAGGAGCTTTCAAACCCCTTTATTAATGGCCAGCTGGAGAGGGTATTTGTGTGTACACAGCAGCCAAAACAGGATCCTCAATGCGGCCAGGGCGCCAGCTACAGGAGTCAGTAACACCTGTGCTATTGTAGCAATAATAGTGCAGTCAATATTATACGTGCAAGGCTGTGCTGAGCACTCAGGAATGCCCACCTCAGCAGATTTCACTTATTAGGGATGAGGTTTTGCTCTGTGTAACCAGTCTGATTTGGTCTCCCATCAGCTTTTTCCCCAACTCTTTGCGGTTCCTGGTGCAGCAGCACGTGGATTTACTGCACGCTCTCCAGGAGAGAGTCCTGAGCTGGCCACGACAAGGGATCCTAGGAGACATCTTCCTGAAGCTGACAAATGATGAGGTATGTTAAAGACCTCTCCAGAATCTTCTGTCATGTTTCATTACATTTTATTGAGGTGCAGGTGGACCAAGACACCTTAAACAGAGGGGCTGTGTTGTGCAGCTGTGGTCTGAAGGGCAAGGCCTTTGAGAAACCCCCTTGGAGCACAGTCCTGGGCCGTGGCAGCCCCTCTGGTGTTCAGGGATCCCACATGCCAGATGCACCTGTGGGCAAGCAGCCCCATAGCACAGCTCCATAAACTACATGAGACCCAGACCTGCTTGCAGGAGCCACAGGTGAGCCTTGACAGCTTGAATGGCTGTATTTCCAGTGAGGGTGTGAAAAAAGAAGGGTTCTGATGCTCCCCTGCGCCCCAGTACACCTTGCTCAGAGTTCTGACAAGCAGGTGGGCAGGCACAGGCCCACATGATTTCTTGCATTCACTTCTGTTGCCCTGGTGAGCAGCAGGGATGTGTAAAAACTCATCTGATACTTTATAAATTTTAAGAATCTTAGATAAGAGCCTCTCTACCCCTCTGCACCTGCAGTAAAGCTTTATACACTGTGCTCAACAGCTGAACACATTTTGTAAAACAGACTTTCCTGACAAGTTCCAAGCCCTGAAGGAATGAAACAGCAGCTCTGCTGCATTGGTGACCTTCCAGCAGTGATGGTGGGGAATTAACAGTTTGGTTGGCTCTGTGACCAAAAATCTCAATTAAGTTTGTGTGTTCTTCTCTTTTGTAAGAATAATTTTCTGGACTACTACGTTGCTTACCTGAGGGACCTGCCAGAATGCATCTCTCTGATCCATGTGGTGATCCTGAAGGAGGTAAACTTCCTGCCTGCTTCCCAGCACATAATGGCAACATGCAAGCCTGGATCTCTCCTGTTATGCCTGCCCATGATAGGACTCTCCTGCCAATCCACTTGTCCTGTTTCCTGGAGGTTGCCGTGGCTGACTGGCACTTACAAAAGGCAGCTTTAACACCTTCCTCACTGTCTGAAATCAAAGCAGCTTTTCTGCTGTGCCATGAAACAATGTCTCAGATTAAACCTCCCAAAAGCTTGCCCATGCAGGTGCTATCCAGACCTTCTCCAGGAACGGTCTCCTGGAAAATGGAGCACTCATCCAAACAGAGGGATTGAGTCCTTTATAGAGAAAAGAGTCTTCACTTTCAGCTTCATCTATTTGGGTCTGAATTCTTGGTTTAAACTTAGAAACTGAAATATAAAGGTAGTTTAAAGTGCAGTAACCTAACCCCATTTGCTTGCTTCCAATATATTTTAATTTAGAAGTCAATCTCATTTTGTTCAATTAATTTGAGCCTAAACTAAGAACTTCATTCTGAGCAACAGTGTCTTCTTGGGATTTCACTGAAACTTAACTAGTGCACTTTCAACGTGCCCCCCTACTTTATTAGGCTGAGTGTCTCTAGTAGATAATTCCCAACCTAAATGCCTGGTGTGCCCCAGTGACTGTTGTAACTCCTTACAGCACAACTACTCATTAAATCACAGAACCATCGAGAAGGAGATGTGTTTTATGGGTGGAAAAGACTCTTAAGTCACTTTCTCTATTTCAGGTAGAAGAAGAAATCAAGTCTGATCTCTACATTCTGTTCTTTCATATAGTCCAGCGAATCCCTGAATACCTTATTCATCTACAGGTAGGGCCCCAGGATGGAAACTGTGCTTTGAACTCTAATCACATCAGGTGACTTTTAACTCAGAGCTGGTATTTGGGCCTGTACAGGTACAGGGTCCTGACAAACCCACTGGGTTCTTTGAAGAAAAAAAAACCAACAAAACTTTTAAAGGGAAAGCCAGCCAACAATAGGTTAAGTTTCATCTTTTTCACATGAGGCTTACTTATACTTGCCAGTTTCTCCAGTTGGCCTGACAGAAACAGCTTTTGTCCCCTGGGAAGCCAAAGGCTCTGCTGTCTGCTGCTCTGGGAAAACAGGAGGCCAGAGATGGGATGGGACACATCTGAGAGGGCTCCTAGGGCCCAACAACCTATCCTACAGAGAGATGGCTGATAAAAGGAGTTCTGGTTCACAGAAGGCTTATCTGAATTGTACTGGAACATTTCAGACAAGGCAAATATACAGAAAGCAAGCCCTAGAAAATCAAACCACTGGTTTATTCCCCCTAAGCTAAACTCAACCATTGCATCACCCACATATCTTGTGATTACATTTACAGTGGTTCCTTGTGCATTTGCACTGGGCTAGTGGGAGGCAGTCCCCATCCAAATCCCTCAGAAACTCAGGGTGCCTAGCAAAGCTCTCCCAGGGCACTGCCATGAGCACTCCAGAGCGCTAATCCATGGTTCCAATAGTGCCTTCTCCCCAGAAAGGGTCAGGACAGCCTCCAAACAGCCTGCTCTCCTCTGTGCCTCAGAATGTCCTGAAGTTCACGGAGCAAGAGCACCCTGACTATTACCTGCTGCTGGTGTGCGTGCAGCGCCTCCGCGTTTTCATCTCACACTACAGCCTCCTCTTCCAGTGCAATGAAGATCTGCTGATACAGAAGAGGAAAAAGCTGAAGAAGTAAGCACAACATCAGCTCATTCTCTCTGTCACCAGGGAAAGGAGGGGTGGGGGAAGCCTGGCAAACAGGGGGTTTAGGTCCAGGCAAGATCAACAGGCACATTGCTCTGTTGAAATAAAACAAAGCCCTTTGCATCTGAATGCTGGAGAAGAACCACTATTGGCATTTGCCCTCCAAACTGAGGTCAGATTTGGGGTGGGCCCTTCTCCTTAACTCTGAGAGCAAAAGAAAAATCACTTCTAAATCCTTCTAAATAAAGCAGCCACATGTTTCATGGAATCATTTGATTCCTTAAGCTGGTGGCAAAGTCACTCCCAAGTGGGAAAACACATGGGGATTTAGGACTGGCAGCTCCAGGCCCTGCTGAGGGTGAGGACTGTTTCCCTTATGGACTGAGACTCCAAAAGAATGATGTTATTTTATTTTTCTGGGGGAGGAAGTAGGAGAAACAAAAGCCTCCCATAACCTGTTTGAGTTGAACTATGACAGAAATTACCCTGAATGTAGATTCTCAAGTTGCAGTTCAGAACAGTTCATTGAAATCAAGGCTTTTAGTAAAAATCAGAATCTGGTTGCCTTTGCTCTTTGTGATGATTTACCTGAGGAGTAGGACAAGATCAAATTTCAAGGGAAGCTTCCAAGTATGGAGAGTGGTAAAGGGCTGGAGCAGATTGCTGGGGAGGGACTGCAATCAGGAGAGGTGTTAAGAAACCACAGAAAGCAGGATGCCCTGCTGGCTGGAGCAGAATAGGTGGAACAGGCTCTTCCTTGGGTTGGGAACAGGAATATTAAGGTCCCTCCCAGTCCTGTTTTCTGTGATTCTACACGCTCGTGCTCATTCCCTGCCTTATTTCTTAGCCCGACGATGGATTTCTCCTCCCTCAGGTCATCCCTGGTGAAGCTGTACAAAGGTCTCACCTCCCAGTGCACAAGCCAGGAGGTTTCTCCAACACCCAGTGCAGCATCAATGCGGGACAGTGGGATCCACACTGAAGAGGCCATCCAGTCATTCCCAGCAGCACCTTCCTCTGGCACAACCACCCCGTAAGCCTGTGGTCCTTGTGGGCAGCTTTCAAAGTAGGCTGAAAATTCTCTCCTCACCCACCCCATGCCAGTGACACCAGGCAGCTACAGGCTGTAATTTCCAAAACCACTCCCTGTATATGGAAAGAGAGATGGAGGGCTGGCTCCATCCTGCTATCCCCTGCTGTGTGGTTTACAAGGAGGGGATGTTTCAGAGCTCTAGCCAGGGCTGCCTGCTAAGGCAGTACATGAGGGAGGACATGAATTGGTTTAGGCCTGACAGTGGTGTGCATAATAACACTCTGCATTATTCACTGTTAACATTACAAGAGCTGGGAAACAGGACCAAGGTCTCAGAGCAGGGAAAAAAAATACTTTTCCACACAGCACATAATGGAATGATGTGATTCGCTATCACAAGATACAAGTACAAAATGGGTTCAAAAAGACACAAGACTAAGACAGACAGGGCTACTGGTAACACCTGGAAATCTTCACAGAATCACAAAATATTCTAGTTGTAAAGGACAAGAATCATTGAGTCCAACTCATGGCCCTACACAGAACCATCCTCAAGAGTCACACAGTGTGCCTGAGAGCTTTGTGCAAACACCTCTTGAACTCTGTCAGGCTGTTGCTGTGACCACTGCCCTGGGGAGCCTGTTCAGTGCCAAACCACCCCCTGGGTGAAGAAACTTTTCCTAATATCCAACCTAAACCTCCCCTGACACAACTCTAAGCCATTCCCTCAGGTCCTGTCACTGGTCACCAGAGAGAAGAGATCCATGTCTGCCCCTCTGCTGTCCCTCATGAGGAAGCTGCAAACTGCAATGAGGTCTCCCCTCAGTCTCCTCCAGGCTGAACAGACCAAGTGTCCTCAGCCACTCCTCATATGGTTCCCCTTTGGCCATTTCCAGCCTGACAGGTGCCAAATGAGATGATGATCAGAGAAACACTCTAGACTTACTTTTATTCTTATGCTGGCAATTTGTGGCTATTGTGCTTTCTTTGCTCATTTGATACTAACAAGAGTTTGGCTGCATCATTCCCAGAGCTCCTCTGTTAGCTGTGTTATAGATCAGTCCTTAGCCTCCTTCTCCCCACACTGCCCAAGCCAATCTCCCTCCTCTCACACACAGATTTCTCCAGGCCTCCACCTTGGTAGCCTCAGCTGGCATCACCCCCAAATTCATCCTGAGCTAAAGACTCAGCTGGAACCCATGGAGGGTAGGAGCCCTCCAAGTACTCCTGACACATTTTGGGGACAGAGTCACTTTACCCAAGGGGTAAAGACAACCAGACCACAGGAAAGTGAGGCACAGCTCCTACATTACAGAGAGAGAAGAAAAGTTAGAATATAAAATGCAGATGAGCAGGAGAGAGATAGAGCAGTTGGCTTCTCATCTCAGTTTCTATTCATTTCATGCTGTAAAATACAAAAGTCAGACAAAGCTACTGGATAAGCAGTTCTGTCTTTCCAAGTTTACTCCTCCTAACCAGCCAGGCCATTTCTGTAAGAAACACCTGTTACTGTTCTCCAAGACAGGAGAGTACCTTTTGGCCATAAAATCAACACAAGAGGGCTGGGGGAGTGGAGGGGTGGGGGGAATTTATCATGCTGTCTCTGTCATCCTTTAGTATTCCACTTCTGTCTGTTTTTTTGTTTTGCTTTGTTTTTTATTTCTAAGGCATTTGATGCCGCAGATGAAGAAACCGCAGCCGACGGTGATGGAGAACATCCAGGCTGTAAAGCCCCCTGACTGGGAGATGGAAAGCAGAAAACACGAGAGGCCAGAGAACATCCTTGCCTCCTCTCAGCTGACAGAGCAGGAACTCAAGGCCTTGACAGCCCCCTTGCAATCCATCCCTGAAATGGAGTACGAAGCGCCGCCGGCTGACGCGGTGGGGAACACCGAGAGAGCCATCAGAACCTCCGTGGAGCTGCTGCAGGATGCCAGGAACTTTGCACCAAGCTACGAAGAGTTTGACTACCCTGGGGAGGTTTTCACCATGCCAGGCCCTTACGAAGATGACACCTTCCAAAACCTTGCTCTCTTTGAGAACTGCTCCCCGGCCTCTTCCGAGTCCAGCTTGGATATTTGCTTCCTTAGGCCTGTGAACTTCACCTCAGAACCGGAGAGGACAGACCATGCCTTGCAGCCACTGCCTAAGAGCTGCACTCCCGTGAGCAGCAGCACCTACAAGCGTGAGATGTTCCACAGCAAAGGGAAGCAGCTGAGCAGGTCCCTGAAGGAGCTGCCGCGCAGCGCGGAGGGCGTGAGCACCAGACTCTACAGCACACGGAGCAGCAGTGGGAGCCGTCTGCAGCAGAAGCAGGACAGGAATGTTCAGCCTCACATGATCTCAGCCTCATCCCGAAGCTCCCAAAGGAGCTACTTCCCCCCACAGAGAGGAGCGGGTGAAAAACCGAGCTTTTTGGAAGTAAGGAGGCTTAAATAGGAGGAGGAAAAAAAAATGGCACATGGTGGTGCAGCAGCAGCAGCAGCAGGAGAAAGATGTGAGATACAGTTAGAGTAGAACATGCCAAAACAGCTTTCAAGCCCACACATTCCAAGACCTCAACTGCTCGTTTTCACACACATCTTCTGCAGGGACAAGCATGGGTTGAGGTGCACAGCTGGCTGAGCTAGAACACCTTTGAGACAAGGTAGCCTCTTGTGTGTCTCCACTGTCACTGAGCTTCCCCCCCTCAAGGTGAATGTTCTGAGCAGGTCACAAAGTTTACACAAAGCTGTTCAAAATTAGTGCTGTGGTTGGCACCCAGTTAAACAGGTGCCTTTCCATCTGCTGTGAGGAGTGCTGGGTAAGTGCTGGATAAGTCATGCCAGTGTAAACCAGCATGACTTGGCCAAGCTCAGCCCATTTACGCCAGCAGGGATCTGGTCCATAGGTTTTGTTTCACCTGTATTTTTTGCCTGGATTGTACAGACCTATGCCAAACTCTGTGTGAGAACAGTCAGAGCCCACAACTATGTCCCTCAGATGGGGCATGGCAAGCAGCACTGACTGTAACCCTTCAGGGACACCAGGTCCTGCAGGAGCAATGTTTCTGTAGTTTGCAGTGACTGTTCAGAGACAGCCTTGGGCTGTCACAGCCAAGGAAGTAGAGGCCAAGGGTGCTCTGAGGTGCTTGGATATGAGGCTGTAGTTGCAGATGATGATGGGAGATAGCTTCCAACAGCCTGACTGAAAAGGCAGCAAGGAAACTTCAAAAGAAAAGAAAAAGAAAGCCTAGTGAGTGAAGGAGGTGGTAGAAGGTTGAACAGGGGAGATGAGGCAGAGGGAATAGTCATGGGGACACAGGCACTCCAGAGAAAGGGGACAATGAGCTCTTTGGCACTCACCTGCACAGAACTATGGCCCACAGCAGGGTGCAGATGTGGAGCTTGTCCAGAACTGCAGGACATGTTCTCCCCCCAGTGCAAAGGAAATCACCATGGCAGTGGTGGGCAGCATTGGAGAAAAGGGTCTTGTCCAGTCTTGCTGAGAGGAGCTTGGCACTCTCCCGAAGGAGGGACAGCTCTTTTAGTGGCACATTTACCACAAGGTGTGTGTCCTTTTGCCCCAGAGATATAAAACCATGCAGCAGCAGAGCCTGTAGTAGAGTTTTTCACATTTCATCACTGCTCCAAAGCCTGATGCCTCCCTGGTCTAAGGGAGAAAGGAGAGGGTGGGAAGTTCTTCCAACTGCCCAAGCTGGCTTGCTCTCTCACTGGCAAAAGGAGCTAATGAGCTTCTCCTAAACAAAAAGCTTAGCAAGAAAGGCTCCAGTTCCCTCTAGCAATGCTTATCCTTCTATTCCTCTGTCACTGCCTCAGCCCTAGAGCCAGGAACAGGCTCTCTGCAGAGGTACCAGTGTTGCTTCCCAGCCTTGTCAGCACCTCCTCACCCACCAGGTCCCTCCTAGCACAGACAGAGAAATAGAAAGAGAGAGAAGGGAACAAGAATGTGAGGTTGCAAATGCTGGTTAAATTGTCTTTTCCCTTTTAGGAGCTCCATGCAGAAGACAACACCAGGTTCTGCCAGAAGGATGACAATGAGCAAACATCCTTCAGCGACCACAACCCGCGGCACGAGCCCAAGGGGGGGTTCCGGAGCTCCTTCCGCAAGCTCTTCAAAAAGAAATAAGCAGCCCCAAGAGAGGCAGGCCACAGCCAAAGCACAGCAGTGCTTCCCCAGGTCCCCGAGGGTGGAGACAGACAGCAAGGCCCCGGGATCCCCCTGGCTAACACAGAGGGTGGAGGGTGGGGGAGAGGAGACTCTCACAACTGCCTTACAAATGCATCCTGCTCTTTCTAGCACAGGGCAGGGCCAGGCTTTGGGTTGCAGTGGAGCTCAACCAGCAGGTCCAATAAGCACAGGAACTTGCTAGCTTTCATCTCTACCTGACTGAACTTCCCTCAGTTTTGGAAAGCTTTGGCCGAACCCTAATATCTTCTCCTCCCCCTCATCCCCCAAACTGCTTGATTTGCCATACATCTTTGCTCTTCCAAACTCAAGGCAGGTCTTTTCTGGCCTCAACCACAACAGAAGGGTTACCTTTGCAGCCCTGGCATCCTGGCCAGAAGTCTAAAATTCCCTTATTTCCTCTACTTTCCAAGAAAATCACCATCAAAGATGCATTCCAGGAGGCCAGCTCGCAGTACCCAGGTGGTTTGAGAAGGTCTTAGAAGCATCAGCTGAAGCACCTGAGCATTGCACTGCCTCATCAGCAACATCCTTTCTTTTGGACTTCCATCACTCACCAAAATCCTATTTCACCTTTTATGTGAATGCTGTTTTCCTGAATTGTGTCCTGCTGTAGGAATCACTGCTTCTGCTCTCAGAATCGCCTGTGTCTCCAGGCAGGTTGGGCCCAGGGCCTGCCACATGAGACTCTTCTCCACCTTATCCCCAGTGTGGATCACTGCAGACACTGTTAGTGCCAAACAGTGTCCTGGCTCCTGGTCTGTAATACACCTGGAATACACTCTGCTCACTCTTTGCCCTGACACCCTCACAAGCCACATCACGTGCAGCTTTGGAAAGGTTCTTCCAGCTAAAAATTGAGGCATTAGGGCAGGAAAGTTGGTGGTGCACCATGTTCAGAGCCATAGCCCTCCTTCTTGTGCAAGGACAGATCAACGAGGCCACGAACAGGCCATCCTCCTCACACCTGGATGTGACAAACCCTCAGTTCCTGATCTCTGCAGAGGACTGAGAGAAGCTCTGCTGTGATACCCGTGTCACACACCAGCAGCGAGAGCACCACTGGCTCAGTGGGTGACCAGTGCAGTCCTGGTGAGCTCTGGTGCCACTGGAAGCTGGGACCTTCTGAGGGCAGTTTCAAGAGAACTCTGGTTTTATCACCTTGTTTTGACACACCTGGGACTCTGGTCTGTCCAAAGGACAGCTTCACCTTAAAAAGTTGTGAATTGTCTCCATGGGGCCCACAGCAATGCCTTGGGGGAAATCCTGTGAGACTGGGGGCTTGGGACTCCGCATCAGCACAAGGGTGGTTGGTTTTGGGGCCAAGAGAAGAGCACCCACCATGCTGCATGGCTCTCCTGGCCGTGGCAGCAGGACAGGGAGTCCAGAGCAGGTGTCCATGGATGCAGTGGCCAATACCTGCTGCAGATGCAGGGCCCAGAGCTCTCCAGCATTGACTGACCTGCACCTACCACCTGCTTTTTCCTCTTCTGCTGGAGGCAGAGGGGTGTGTGTGAAAAGGGCTATCCAGACAGACAAAATCCATCCTTTACTGCAATCAAGGTTTTCCCAACATTTCAAGAATGTGACCAAGCAAAACCCCAAAGATGAAAATGTTTTAGCTGGTCCCTCTCCCATAGATTTTAATGAAACAAATATTCACTTCTCCTCCTTACAAAAAGGAAAGAAGTACCATACTTTCCTCCCCTAGCTTTTGGAAACTACTCTGGGAAGATTTTTTTAATGTAAGGCTTTTAATAGCAAAAAAATTCCCTTCCATCTCCTTCCCTTTCCCTCACATCCTCATAAAATTACAAATTCCATGTCCCTTTCCAGTCAGGACTGCTTCATGCTGACCAGCCATTGAATCACAAAGACAGTTCCTAGGACTTGGCAGCTTTTAGTCTGATCGTGCAGGGCCAGGATAGAAATTATATAGGAAAAGTCAGATACTTATAACTGAAGCATCAGCAAAGCCTGTTTGTTCTGCACAGGAATCAGCCACAGACAGAACTGTTTGTTTGTCCATGGAATGAGAACTGTATCATTATGGACAAGTGTCCATTGTAATGCACTGATGCTGTCAAGGGCTCTAATTTTTGTGGTCTCAAGTATGTAATGACACTTTAATCTCACAAAACAAACCTGCTTTTCATATTTGCCAAGCAAAATGGCAGGACAGAAACAGGAAAAAACCCTACCTGCTAACATCTCCTGGGTGAGGAAATCCTTCCAAAGTGGCAGACCCTTGCTTGTAAAATGCATGTGGATTTCAGCTTCTATTTTAGTGATTTAAAGCACAGTCAGAACTGATGGTTATTTCTTTTTGATTCTCTCTGAGTTCTTACTTCCAGGCCTATACTTACCACTTGAGATGTCCTTGTACCTGCTGCAAATGTAAACAGTATGAATGAATGATGCTCAGCACCACACACACACAACCTGTCACAGGGTCCATTTCAAATCCATCTTTAGTGTACATGTGTGCTCTGGATTATTTTTCTTCCTTTGCCAAATAAACGTTCCCTTTAAATACTGCTGTTGCCTCTTGCACTGAATCAGCCAGAAGGTTGCATCCATGAAGGTGTTTCTCTGGTCCCTCTCTGAGGCAGCATTACTTACACAATCCTCTATCCCTACAAGTCCAGCCATGCAAGCAGACTGTTCCCTACACGAAGTTCTAAGGCCCTTATTCAGAACTCAGCTGATTCACTCTCAAGTCTTCTGGTCAAGATCCTGTTGTTGGTGTAGCTCACTGTGACAGATCTTCATCTACTTAAAGACTCTTCTAGACCACACCTTTCATAGCTACACTCCTGTTTAAGTCAGCCATCCTAGACTCAAAACAAAAAAAGGCTTTCTCTGAAATAGATGCAACAAACTTGTCCAAAGCAATTCCAATAACATGTGCCCTTTATCACTTACCTTTGGTTACCTTCTTTTTAAAAATATTACAGATGTTCTGTACATTTGGCAGCTAAATTGTCATGCATCTGACAAGAGGGTTTTTATTTTATTTCTCCCTTTCAACTTTTCAGCCACCCAGTACAGGATTTCACACTTGCTGGCTAGAAAGTAAAAAAAAACCTTATTCTTTACTTCATTTCCCTCATAATGCACTATTTTCCACTGAACAAAAAAGGTAAATTTGCTCTCAGTGGGCAGAAAAATGCATTTAAGGGTGGTTTGTGTTTTTTAAAATGGAAAATAAGGAATGGGATTTACAAAATAAGTTAAGAGCATTTTGTCTTTACGCCTGTATTAGGCCACAGGTTTGTCTCCCGAAGAAGGCCTTCACCTATGCACTGTATTTAGAAATGACAATTCAACAATCTTTTCAATGAAGCACAATAATCTACTATGTTCAACAGTGGTACCTCCAGTGATATCACTGGGAAAATCTAATTTAAAACACACACAAAAGAAAAATGATTAAATAATCCCACAATGTCACTCTGAAACATGAAGGATGTAAAATCCAGTGTATTAGCATGCTCTTACTGAGACAAACCTCTCCCTCCCTTAAAGAGGCATATTAGAGCAGCAGGTTACCTACACTGGAAATGGCTTCTTGAGGATGGAGCACTTCAGTGCTTCCATGGCATCAACCCTGAAAGAGGACAACATTCTCCATGAGCAGACAAGTTTGCTGCAGGGGCTGCTGAATGCCATGACAATACTGTGTCACCATGGGGTCACCAGGCAGCACAACAGGGACTTCCCACATAGCAGCTGGACACAGGGAAATGCTCAGCACCTGCAAAATCACCTCAGAACCATGAACAGTCTGGGTTGGATAAGGATCTTTAAAGACCTTCTAGTCCAGCCCCCTGCAATGAGCAGGGACATCTTCACCTCGAGCTGGCTGCTGAGAGCTCTTTCAGCCTGACTGAATGTTGCCAGGGATGGGGCATCTTCCACCTCTGGGCTACCTGTTCCAGTGGTTCACCACACCCACTGTAAAAAACTTCTTCCTTATACTTTGTCTAAATCTACCCTCCTTTAGTTTAAAGCCATTATTTTCTGTTCTATTGCAAGAGGCTCTGCCAAAAAAAGGCTGTCCCCAGCTTTCTTATAAACCTATGAACTTCTGCTACATAACCCTGCCTAAACAGCTTGCAGTGGTTTTGGATGACTTTTAGCCATATATCAGCTCTCTACAGTAATACAGCAACTCTCCAGACCTCCACACGTGCCCCTTTCATTGTCCAGGCCACACCAGACCAAATCAGGGTGATTTTACCAAGGAGACAGAGAGCATCATTAAAATTATTTAATTTTCTATCTGAAAAGTATTGTCACTAATGCAAACATGATCCAAGTAAGAAGCCATTCCAGATCAGAAATTATTAACACACAGCTGCCATGACACAAACCAGTGGCTTAGCAATTGTATTCAACTCCTAAATGCTACAGGTTTGATTCTGACCCTGTCCTTCCTGTTTGCAGCTGGGTCAACACCATGATTTGTGCACTGTGACTGACCCCTGGGCTCCAAAGAACGTTTACTTTAGTTCTTTGCATGGCGCCCATTGTCACCTGTTGTCTGAGTATCTCACCAGGAAAGCACTTTTATCCTCCACCACAAACAGGGAACAGCATTCTCCATTTCACAAAGGAAAGCAGAAACCTACTGACATTTAAGAAATCTGCTGATTAGTGGGAGCCACATGAGGTCCCTCCTGACTGAGCACCCTGACCACTGGGTGGCCTGCTCTGCCTTGGCTGCACAACAGCACAGACAAAAATGTGCTGAAGAAGAAATACAGATCAGAAAGTCTCAATTTATGGAGTTTTCCTGGTAACCCACTAAGGAGCTAATAATTTAGATAACACTGCCAACAGTATGGCCATCATAGTGTTTTTATCCAAAGAATCCATACCCCAAACTACACCTCCTGTGGCTTGACAGTTTTTATAAAGCTCCCATATAACGTTGTCCTCTGAAGCCAAGGTTTTGAGATTTTCACTTTGTTTTTCTTTTGCCAGAAAAAATGTTTCAAAACAACATTGTTAAAGACATCTAAGAAGGAATACAACTGACAATTTCAAGATCTGACTTTGGTGAAAACTGCCATTTCTGTTGAGGAAATGCTTTCCCAAAGCAATGACCACACCAAAGGATCAAAGGGCCCTGATCAATGGCATTGCTGAAAGCATTAAAAAAGGTGATTTCTGCCATCATGCAACTGACACTATCTGTAAGGGACTCAGCTTTCCAAGATCCTGAGGTGTGTTCTTCTTCCAAAGAGGATATGTGAGGGAATTTTACTTGCCCCATGAGCCACGTGAACTGAAGATGAGACACTTTATGCTTCACATACCTACTGCAGAGGACATTACAGAGCTCCTTTTCTTCAACAACTGCCATCCATTACTGTCCCGGTCTGGTCTGGAGTTGAAGAGCAGCAAGCAGGTTTATGGATAAACCATGTCAGAATAGTTACAACATACCTGTTTTGTCATGTGTATTTTGGAAAGAAAAAGCCACTGTAAAGATTAATAGAAGTTTGATTTTTTCTAACATGTCATACAGGACGTGGGAAACATTTCATAAGGTATAATAATTCACTTTGGGAGTAACCCAGCCTCTCAAAATATTAATGAATTATTATTTGTAACATGCCAGAAACACCTCTTTAGTTTCTCATTACTAAAATACATACACTGAACTAGGAAAAATACCTACCCCAAGATGGGCTTTTATCCCCCTCAGTGCTTAACTGAAAAACTAAGTTGAACATTTGTCCATTAATAATTTAACGTATGTCAGCCAAACATATCTTTATCTTTATTTCAATTAAATTAAAAACAATCTGCAAGTATATTTATGCAACATTCACTATATACACACGATTTATGCAACTGCAAGGCAATCCTATGTATGCTGATTAATCTATTGTTAGTAAAACATGACAATAGCTATGGAAGTTGACAAGTGACTGTTTTCATGGCATGACTGAAAAAGAATAGCTACTAGCCATGAAATGGATTATCAGTAAACCTTAAAAAGAACATGACATAACCTAGCAGAGATTAACAGTCTTCTAAATGTAGTATATTTGCTTCAGATGATAGTGCTGCTTTTAAAAAAAAAATTCGCTGTCACCTTAATGATGTAAGACTTTCATCAGCTCTATCTAAAGAAAGCAATAATTAGACATTATGCTTCCTGGCAAAAATTTATTTTTGAACTGGCACCACAGTATTTCAGAAAATAATAATAAAGTACCTCTTTGGTGAAGCCTAGGTACCCCCTACTACTCATTGTAACAACTTGTAAACAGGACCGCAATACAGTGCTTTGCCTTAATTCTAGCTCGGTTAGGTACCACAGATCTTCCTCACAGTCCTTCTCATAATTTTAGGAAGGTATTTTAAAGCAGGGAGTAAGTAAAGCAAAGGAAAATTAAGAAGGATATAAAGTTCCCTGTTTGAGATTTAAAAAAAGTGCATAATGTTTTCATTCCGAAAACTGTGCCACTGTATGGAACTGATGGATACAAGACTGTTTTTCCTTCCTGTACTGGGCATTATTGATCATTACACAAACACAGTCTCTGCTCATTGGCCAAAGAAGTCTCTCCAGACTGTTTTCTGGTACAATCAGCTGTCCAATTACTTTAGAACAAAGTCCTGCATACTAAAACAAGAATAGCAAGTTAACCGGGTTTTCCACTAGAAAGTCTGTTTTTGCAATTCCATTTCTGTACACTACATTTCCAACGCATTGGAGAGTTCTTAGTGTTTGGCATACACGTCCCAACTCCTTGACACCACCAGGTTCAGTGCATCCATTGCCAGCAACAGACATAGCACCAGGAAAATGCGACTCCCAGCGCGAGGGACAGTTCAGGAGGAGGGGGCGTTCTCCAGCAAGGGCGGCCCATCCCGATGCATCGATGGGTGCGTGTGCTCCCTTTTGTAAGTTTTTGGAGGAAGCTTTGGGATATGTTGAGAAGTGCTTTGTCGTGGAGGAATGGGTGGTCCAGCAACAGAAGGGAGGTCCACATCCTGCGGTATCAAAGGCGGCGATGGCAGGTGCCTCCGTGCTACATGTGGAGAAGGTGTCTGGGGGGGAGGGGGCGTGAAGGGAGAGGGGCTGTTTGGGAAAAAGGTGTTACCAAGTTCGCTTTTTCTCCCCAGGGGTGGAGGCTGGAGGTGTAGTGGTGAGCTAGAGAAAACATCTGGAGTTCGCACAGGTTCCCGTGGCGGTAACTCGGGGGGGTTGGCAGGGGTAACACAGGAGTCAGAGATGCAGGTCCGATCAGGCACCGAGTACCTTGGAGAATACACTTTAGAGGTTGGCTGCCTAGGAGGGATTGCTGGTGGGTTGTCCAGGTGTGCAGAAGTGATCTGAGGTACACAAACACTTCGGTCAGTAAAATTCCAGAGTGGCAGCAAAGCACAGGACCCTGCTGTCAAACAGAAGCCCCCTCCTGCACTGCAGATTGCTCTTAGCTGGGCTGCAGCAACACACGAGTGAACAGCCAAGGATGGAAGGAATGAAGATGCACAGAGAGGGACAAGGGAAAGGCAAAGAATGGTCAAAGGAACAATTTCCATGCTAGTTCCAGGTCTGCTTGCTGGGGAGGTTTGGATATCTTCCAACACTTCCCCAGTAAAAAGCACTTGGAATGGATTAACATGCCAGGAATTTCTTCAAGAAAACTAGAAAAAGGGAGAGGCTGATGATGCTGAACAGGGAAAAAAATAAGCTATGCTCAGAAGATGGAGTTAAGTAGTCAGAATTATGGAAGTGAGCAGCTCCCAAGTTGCAGACCATACTGATAGGATAACTGATCTCCAACACCGTATCACGTACACAATGTTTTCAAATATATTTTGGTAGGATTTCAGATACATTTTGGTGATGTGTCAAGTTCTGCTGACTGGCAAAACAGTTGCATGTAGTCTGAAAATAACTGCTGAAGAGCCACTTATAAGCTCTCTTCAAAGACATATCTGCTCTGAAGTAATTTTGTGTAGGATTTTCAAATCTGAAGTCACAAATGAGCTTCCACTGAAATCAGGTGAAATTTGACAGTGTCTGCAACAAAGGCTGGATCAGATCCCAGTTGCCAGACAAATGCAAAAGGAAAATGTAGGAATGCCTTAAAGCAGGCAGGCAGACAGGATGGGTAAAGCAAGCACTTGAGCACCACAGCATCAGGATCAAATATTCTGGTGAAACTTTCCAGAGGACTGAGTTGTGTACAGCACTTTCCATCATTACTGTTCATCAGTTCTTACTCTTATTCATATTTCCTAAACCTATAGTCTGGAATAATTAATCCCAGATGGAAACACCTGCCTGAAGCCCCAAATTCTCACAGGCAATGCAAGGGCCTGAGCATAGCACATCAGTAGATGAGACATTTCTAACCCTAAATTTAGGTCCCATCTATTTTCATTTGTTTGAGATCAAGACAGCGAGGTAGAGCTGTGAAGGCCTGAAATACATGGCTGCTTACTCTTTCACATACAGTTCTTAAAAAAATAAATGTACTATCTTTGAGAGTTACTTTTCTATCATACCCTGTCCTTCTTCTCCCAGAAAAACAAATGACCTTTTTTCTGCTTACTTACTTTTGATGGGGAGGATTCAGCTGGGGCAGATTCTGGTCTTCTTCGTGGAGGAACAGGAGGAGGGACAGGAGCATCATCTGAAGTTTTGGTAAAGTTTATGGATGACACAGAAGCAGATCCTAAGGGACATAAAAAACCCTGTTGATAATTATGAACTTTTGGCTCAATATTGCTGCCAATAGAGGTGCCATAAATAATAAAGCAATTGCTCATAAATAGCATCATGAATCAAGGAAGTGGCAAATAAAGACAACAAAACAAGCCTCTAACTTGCAGCTGTCAGAGAAACTGCTTTTCTGAATGCAAAGCTCTCTGTGGCCATCAGCTCCTGAACTTTCTTAAGTAATCCTTGAGACCAAAACCACACCACAAACTTGTTCTTATATCACAATATCACTAAAATAATATCCTGAACCTGCAGCCAATGGACCCAACAACAAAGAAATCCTTTCTCCAGAGGCTTTCCAAAGACCTGGCTTGGACACTCAGCAATGGCACAGCTCTGCTAAGGAACTTCTGCCTTTAGGAAGTAATTTCACCTCCCTGTGGCAACCAGCTGAACACAGGAGTAACCTCTGAAAACCCTTGTATGTGAAAGGAGCCTACATCCATTATTAAATACTGAGGACACACCATAAAATATGAGCTTCCTTGGATGTTGGAAAATACATCCAAGAAGAAAAAGAGGTGTGGATAGATCCTGATGGATTTAAAGCAAGCAAATACTGATTTTAACTTCTGCAGGAATACCATCCACGTACACAGAAATCAGTTCCGAACTGCAGGCAGCAGAATAAGGCACCTACAAACAATTCATTTTTTATTCTCAATGTTTACCATCAGATACTCACCAAATACATTCACACAAATACATATGGCACCAAATCCCCCAAGTTTGCTTGGGACATATATGGGCCCTAGAGATTACCTCTGCCTTCAGTTTTGAAGGTCCTCCAAAGACTTGTATCAGTCCCTATGTAACACATCTAATTCTGTTCAGTTTCTCCTTTACAATCAAAACTTTTAAAGAAAAAGTGAGTAAGAAATATTAAAAGTTTTTGATGCAATGATTTTTACAGTCACTTGAGAAGGCTAGACCTGATTTCCCCTGCCTAACACCACAAAATGTGAGTGGCACGTGCTGCCTGTGAGCACCTACGTGTATGGAAAGGGCTGGAGGGGTCCGAGTCGAAGACGCTGCAGGCGTCGGTGGTGCTGGACGTGGCGGAGGCAGGGGGTGGGGTCAGCGGGGTCCGCGGCGAGTTGGGCGCCGACGCCGTCGCTTCCGTCTCGCTCTCGGGGATGCGGCTGTAGCTGATTTTCCTTGGCTCCTGCTGCAGGGGCGTGGGATGCCTCATGGTGCCTGGCCTTGGATTAGAGGGACGAACACCTGGGGACTTGAGAGGGTAGCTGTACTTCTTGGGCTGAAATGACAGAAAATATCACCCAAAATCAAAAGGCTGTGGGATCGCTTAAATGCAGCTTTGCAGTTATGAAGTCAGAGATTTGAAATTACTTCTGCCATCTATGAAAGTCAAATGTAAGCACTTTTGGAAAAATAAATGCAAAAATTGAATACTAACAAATCTTGGAGGAGGCTTGACATTTCGTGGCTCTATCTCCAGTGACTTGTTGAAGAGATAATCTGTAAATTCTGTCTCCACGCTGTTTCCCATTGGATTCAGGTTTTCAAAAAATCTCTGCAATACATGAAGGCAGACAACTTGTCAGCTAAGATGCTTTTTAATACTGCTTGTTTCTACAGCACAAATGATCCCAGCTGTTCAAGAAAAGAGAGGAAATGCTGGAGTCAGAGATAATGACAGACTTAAGCTATTAAATCTGCTTGTCACTAGGCCTTTTCTGGACATTGCTACTGCTATGCTTGGCCTGAAAACCAGCTGTGCAAGTACCCTAAATGCTCTCTGCAGTGCAAAGTCAGACCAGGTTTGCCCAAACACTTCCAGAAAAAGCTGCAAACAATCCAACTTTACAGTGATGCAGGGAAGACTGCTCCCATAATGCATTCTGTCAAAGCCTGAGGAGAACAAATAAAAAAAACCTTGCAGAATCTCTTAAGATAAGCTGTCATGTGACTCTCTGAAAGCACACATCTCAAAAAATGTCAAGAAAAAAAGAAAAAAGGAAGAAAGGAAAGCAACCAGAGAAGACACTGCTTAGACAACACCTCAGACCAAGGAAAACAAGTACCATGAAAAGGAAAGAAGATGTGAGTATCATCTCCATCAACATATGATGTAAACACAGTGCTATCAGGTAAACATGGAACATAAAGGCAGTGTAACAGAGGAGGAAAAGACAATTGGGCAAATAATTGCAGTTGAGTGAAGGACAATGAGAATCTGCCAGTTTCAGTTCCTGTCTAACACTGATCAATAAGAAGATCTACCAATGTCCCAACAGATGAGAAAAATGAAACAAACCCAAGAACCTGCAAGCATTGAGCTTTCTGCCCTTTCTTACACTGAGACCCGAGAGAGGTTTTATGACAGGTCCTCTGCTCATCTCTGATTCAGTCAGACCAAATCTATGTGAATTCAGTCTGTCCTTATGGTCTGTCAGCTGACAAAATCACCACACAAGGAAATTGTGTCACTTACCCTGATGTCAAATTCCACTCTTAAACAATACGGCTGGTTCTGGTACTGCTGGATTTCCCCTGTTATCTCAGCTACCTTCCTTCTCTTGCTGAAGTTTATAAGGTCTTTCCCATGGCGCTTGAGAAATTCAGGATTGCCTTCTTCTGTTTTCAAAATGTTGGTTAAGTAAATCCCTAAACAGCAACAGAAGAGGTTTTCAACACAGAGTACAAAACAAGGAGGAAGTCAGGACTGGAATGCAAGGAATTCTTAAAAAAATTAATTTGTGCACTGCAATTATTTAGAAAACCCTTTGTTAGGGTCAACAAGAGAATTGCACCTCACCTTCCAACGAGGGCAACAATTTAAATATTTTAACATGCCTTTTCCAGAAAGGTGCCTTTTTTGCATCAAAGTCCCAAAGTCTGTGCACCTTTCTATGGTTTAGGAAGCTCATACAACTGAACACTACAAGGGGACACTGAACAGGAATGCTTTCTCTTAACTCCTCCATTAGATATCGCAGCTAAACTCCAAAAATTATTTTCAAGTTTTATCTTGGTTTCATAATTGCATCAAATAATTTGAAGATTAGGAAGTAAAAAGTGCTCTCCACTTCACAGATCATGTGTCTGGAATTGTCATTAGTACTTGACAGAAATAACTGAAGCTATTCACATGTGATCCTGCTAACCTCTACTCATCTCTGAAGCAGGACAGAAGGTTTCTTAGTTGATCTTATTTTTCTTTGCAGAGCTCTGGAGTATATCTTTCCCCAGTCTGTAAAAGGCCAAAACCCACTATTTTCTTTCAGTTTTGGCTTGAAGCCTATGTTGGACAAGTGCACTGTCCAGACTTGGAACTGATCTGTAGCAAACATTTAAGTGGATGCTTAAGAACAGGAGTGACATGTGCTTAGCATCACAATCTGCTTAATGTCAGCAATCCACTTCAAAGAAAAACTGTTAAATCTGATGATAAAGAGGATGCTTGCTTTCCAAACTCTGTTCCTACAGAAATTAGACTTCTTAATAGAAATGAAACTCTAACTGTATTTCTTGTCACCCTTGATGAGGAAGAGGATCTTTCTTTTTCTCCCAATGGCAATAATATTTCTAATGTGACCATCTTCTATTGAGAGTATATCTGGATGTAACAGTTCAAACCACACTGTAAAACCACACAAAGTAAAAATCAGCAAATATGGATACTGCATAAAATAGGATATTGCAGACATACTTATTTTTACTGCAAACGATATCTTCCTTGAATAGTCACTTTAGGGTTTTTTTCACATATTCGTGTCTGGGCACCTGAAATTCCAACCCATCTGTCCTGTTAAAATTGACTTTTCTTTCTATTGTTCATACTCTGTTTAGTCCCTTAGCTCAATACTTTCCAAATGTTAATGTGGGACATGGCTCATCCAAACCACAGGTACTCACCAAAAAAAGGCACACAAGGAGGATTAATGGACCTGAGTTTTGCCAAGTATTTCTTATAATGGTCCTCACTCAGCTCATAAGCTTCTTCTAAGATCTTCTTCTGGCGACTTGGAATTTGCTTAAAAGAGAGATCAAACAGGCGGTTTGGAAAGAGAAGATAAAGGCATGGCCCAGCAACAGTACTGAGAGTATGGTCTCCCACTGGCACTTGAATCAGGGACCATGAGGACACTGCCCCACCATCCTGAGATGCCTTGCTTAAGTGGGGATGGATTTCTTGCTTCTCAAAGCAAGGAAAAACCCTCTCTCTTCCACCCTGGTTGATTCATTTCTTGGGGGATTTACTTTCCTTGCTCCTTGGAAGCAAATGCTTACTGACAAGACAGGCTTTCAGTGCAGCCAAGGTACCCTGCATGACACTGCCATAGCAAAAGTGGAAAACATTTCACTGTACCTCAAATGTGTGATCCAACCTATAAACTGCTGCGGAGTTCATAGCACTGACAATCTCAAGGACACCATTAAAGTTGTTTAGCTCTTGAAAAACTTGCAGGATCTCAATTATCCGGCTCACTACAATTACTCTCTCCTCTAGGTTTTCTGTTTCTACAATGCATCTAAATACACAAGAACATTGGGGTTTGTATTAAAGCACTGATGAGGTTTCCAAAGTCAAATATTAACTTGTAACACAAACAAATAGGATTTTATCAAATTACTTGAGGTAGTTCTGAAAATGTCTTAGAGATTTGAAAATATTCTAATAATACAAAGCTTGAGACCACTTGTTAAATTTCTCACAGGGACCAATGTTAAATTTCTCACAGGGACCGGTTTTAGCATCTAAACACCAAAACAGGAATTCTCCTAGAACAGAATTTTTCACAGTATACTCGTCAATGGTCTGTAAATGTCCCAATATGGAGCAGGTGCAGATTCAGGAAAGTCACTTACTTTTCAAACCACAGAGTTAGGTTAGTTGTATGCCTTATCATTTTGAGAAGGTTGGGAGAATTAATTTCTTTATCTTCCTTTGTCCACACACTTCCAACTAGTTCTGATGGCTGCACAGCTCTGGAAAAGTAGATGTTTTACCAAAAAATGTAACTAAAAGTAGGAAGGTATTATTTTTCCAAACCCTCTTGATTTTCACTGAATTTGGAATTCACATTTAGAAATAAATTCTTAAGGTATCCCTTCTACAACATTAGGCTGTCCTCATGACTAAATGATATTTCTACAGTTCTTTTTTAGACAGTAGATATTTCTTAATGTATGTCACTCTTAAGCACCTCTGTACATCTAGATGAAGAATGAAATCTCCATCTCGTTCACTCTAACAAAATGTGAGCTTCCAATGCCTGAATAATTTCTTAGCTGATGAGATCTGACACATTCCTTAATTTGCTACACAAAGCAGGATGTGAAGAAAACTGATTTAATAATTGTTCATACTTCTCAAAGTTTGATCTACTCAGAAAATACCAAGAGAAGGCTGGAACACAAGACAATTAACAGTATGCAACAATCACACATACTGTACATTAACTTGGGGAGGATAAAACAAATATTGTCTTTAAGAGAGCTTCCACTGAAAAATGGAAACTAATACACACCACTGGCGAAGTCCCTTAATTTCTGTGGGGCTTCACATCAGAGGCCCACAGAAACAATTTCAGGCATGGAGAATATTTTGGTTTGTGCCACGTGTTTCTCAGTGGAGGAAAGTTACCTGTAAAAATCTGACTCCAGCAAAGTGAGCTGCCGAGCGATTTCTATGGGATGCAGAGTGAGCAAGTCAAAAGTCTCTGTGTGCCCTGGTTTGCTGATGTGCCACTCAATTGCTGGAGGGGGGCTCTCAAAAGTGATGTTGTGGCTTGGCCCAATGGCTTGTGCCTGCTTTTTCCTGTTGATTATCTTTGTGATGGATTCAACCCACTTCTTCATGGCTTTGCCTGGCACACAGAGAAAATTACTATTTAGTTAATACTGTTTTAACTAAGACATCAGTATAATTCAGTAATCAGTAACCCCAAAACCTAATAAATTAAAGCAATCATATATTCCTTAGGATTGGCATTCTCTACACAAATGTAGAAGTATTCAAAGACAGAAAGAATTCCTCAACAGCCAATGCTGAGCACAACTTTGCCCAAGCACAAATCAGAACATCCAAATTAGACTCCTGCCCTGATTTAGGTGCTTTTCTTTCTTTTCTGAGTTTACAGTGAGTTTTTGGGAACAAACCTTGTTTTGCCCAAAATGCACTTCTGCAAACACCTTGAACTTTCTAGTTTGGGCAAGAGCACTTGATTACCTCAGATAACCTAGAAAGTCAAAATAACAAACAGGGAGAAGCTTCTTCCTGTACTGAATTTGCCATCAAAGCTGAGAATAAAATTGAAAGGCTAAAAGCCTTCTTAGCTCTGCATCATAAGAATTTCATGCACCAGTCCATTGAAAATTTACCAGTAACACCCACTGAATTAGCTGCCTCATTCTCCCGCTTTTTAGTGGCTAAATAACCACTAAGTACTTCTCTGACACAGTCTTTTCCTACAAATTGCTCCCGTGTCTGTCTTGGCTTTATTTAAAAGGAAACAGGAAAAGTCTGTACAATCACAACAGCAAGGTGTCCTACAGTTCTAATATGCACTGTGAAGTAGCTGGAAACACTTGTTTCAAAGAAATAATGGTTTCCATCATCCAACTTTACAAAAATTACCCCTGTGTAAAGTTTAAAATGACAATCAAAGCAATTATTCTGTCCTCATCATGACTCAGTTCTTATTATTTTTCATTATTTCAGTCCCTCTACAGCAAAACTCATTTATGTAATTGACATATTTAACATTATGTAAATTTAATTCCAGTCCCTCTACAACAAAACTCAATTTATGTAAATAACAATCATTATTCTGAACAAGAGCCAGATTTTGAATAATAGTGTGTGTGTGGGCTTAATGAAAGTCCATTTCACGCTCTTTATGAAGTATTTAATAATAATAGTGCTTATTATTTAATAAGTATTTAATAATGTCCTGTTTTTCCTGAAAGCAAAATTGATCGCACTCTGTATCTCTGAAACGGGATGCTTTAGGATAAATGTCAGCACTTAAGGAACTGTAAATACCTCTTACTGTTCCAATGAACTCCTCCAAACGTTTCAGAAGGTCAGCATCTCTTTCAAAGTCATAGAAATGGTGCTCTACCCAGTGTCGACACACATTTAATACTCTGCAAAAGCAAAGAATAAAGAAACACTCTAGAGCCCAGTCTATCTTCCCCTTCAAAGCAGCTGCAAGAAAGGCCTCTGGCAGCACCAGGAGCCAGTGCAGCCAAAAGGTGGCACTTCAGAAGCAATTCAGGGTGGCTCCCAGGGATGCAGCACTCACCTTAGCTGCACAGGTTGAATGTACTCTTTCCTAAACCTTTTCAGCTCTGCACTAAGGGGTTGGTCTCCGTTCTCCATGGCAATACGGTCGGCCTCCGTGGGCTCAGGCTCTGGAATTTCAAATCTAGCACAGAAGATGGGTGTAAGCACTAGCCCTCTGTTACACCAGTCTTGGGCACAAGCTTCTGGATATAAACTTGTACATTTTACTGGCAATCCTTGAATTGGACAACTTTTTAAAAGGTGTCTGAAGCGACCACAACCAACTGGAAAGCCAGAATCTTACACACTCCAAGTAAAAAGAAAAAAAATGCACTTCATAAGAACAGTATTTTTAACAGTGGCATACCTTTCTATTAGCAAACTCAGCAACTCTTGAGGTCTACAGAAGGATCTATATGTTGTGAGAAAAGTCCGAACAAAGTTGGGATCTAAGACAAAGAATAATTTTACACTTATGTCAGCAATTACCTGGTTTTTTTCTTTTACAATAACTTCAATTATCCGTTAAAATTAAGGATGTCACCCTGTCAATTTACAGAGAAGGTGATGTAAACCAAAATGGCTTTGGTAACAGTTCAAAACCTCCTAAAATAGCAATACAAAGCAGAACTTAAAACCAATGTTCATTCTCTTGAAGGTTCACAACAATGACTTTCCCTCCCCCCCTTCAGCTGTTAAAAGACAGGATTCTTTTCCAATGACTTTGAAATTAATGAAGAGATGATTTTATTTATGAGTAAACAACTTTGGTTTTGACAGTGATTGGGACACGAGAACTCAAAAAACACATCAAGTCACTTTGCACTAGATAGAAATGGCCTCTTCCAGGGGAGAATATTTCCCCCGAACTGGCACAACTGATAACCACTCATGGTTAAGGCAGCCTAGATATTTTTTCACCTGACAGCTATGTTAGAGGTTATATTTATTTCACTTCTAGAAAATCAACTGATTTCATTTAAATTGACTAACTACACAGAAATTAATTTAAAATATGAAAATGTGTCTTAAAAACAATCAAAACAATCAGAAAACCAAGGTGTCTCTCATAATTACAAAAGCAAACCCATTTGTTTTCAAATATGAGGAAATGCACTGACAGCTCACTGGCACTGCACAGAGCTGACTAGAAACAAGGCTAACACTGTTATCACTGAACAGAATTAATGAGCACATTGCAACAGCTTTGCATATTAGATCCATATCCAGATTTGAAAACCAAACCTCAGCTGGTAATTGTCCTAACACAGAGTGGCTGAAGAGGGGCTCACAGGACTTGAAGCAAGAATTCCTGTAGGCTATAACATGTAGGATAAAAAGCCTGCATTATTTGACCTAATGCTCTACTGGATTTGCTTCCTGAAATATGGATTTTTAAGAGCTGCTTTAAAATCCTCCTTATTAACTCTTTACCAGCATCTTGTCCATTTGAATGAACATTCCAACTTCCTTAGATCCCACTGAGTTGTTCATTTGGGCAGCAGTTTACTGTGATGTGCTGCACACTGTAACTGTGCCATGTAACACAGCATTTCCTTGCAATTTTGTTGCATGATAATTCTCATTCCTTAAACAATTGGCTATTCTGCTTCTCACATGTCCTCCATTATCCCATTTTCCTAACCATAACCCCTCTCCCACCAGTCTTTGAAACTGTACAGTCCAAAATTATTTTCAAAGGCAGAACTCCAATCTTTTTTGCCCAAAGAAGGTCATCCCTGTTCACATCATCTTCATGATGAAAATACATAAATTCTGCTGTGCTAAAGAAGCACAGTAACTCATACTTTCACAGCTTGCAATCTGTACACAGCATCTACTCTAAATAAGAGATTTTGTCGACATGAAAAAAAGAGCTTCCATAGCAATTAAGATCTTCAGATCACTGCAAGCTCTGAGTTGTAGCTATTGTTATTTACAGGTAGGGTCAGCATATAAATCCACAATACATATTGAATTTCAAACCAAGTAGATCAGAAAATCAAATCTACCTTCATTATCTTACTAGCAACGACTGCGACTCAAAATAGTGTACAATATATGAGTAAGTGTTAAAAAAATACAGTCAACACCAGTTAGCCAGGATGTCTGCTCATGTGATAATTCTCTCTTCAATGCAGCCAATTTGAAAGCTAAAAAAGAACAATAACTGTTCTACGAGGATTTATAAATAATCACCCTTGAATTCCTTAAGAAAGGAAACGGACACTATGATGACGCACAAACACTCTTAACATATCTAAGCTTTAAAAATAGAAGAGTGCTGCCCTATAGATAAAAAAATGCCATGACTTTAAAATGTTGGTACCACCTAATCCAGCTGCTCTAAAACAAGAATTGGACAAGAGGAGATAATGAATGCAAAAACACATGAAAGCAAGGAAAACCCACCAGAATATGCAAATAGGGTGAGAACCTGAACTTCTAATTGCAGGGCAATTTCTCTCATGTGAAAATACATGGAAAGCTGCTTTTGAGGAGGAGATTTCTCTCTGTTTTGCTACTCCACCACAGGATAGTTTGGACAGTCTGCCACACCTTGTGACTATGTGGCGATCAGGGCTGTCTCTCTGTCTGAACTCTTGTAGAAGCTGGATGCCTCCCACCCCTGGCAGAATTGTTTCCTTAGAGCTTTCCCTGTTGCACAGTAAAGAAATTTTGGCTGATAAAATGGTTTCTCATTTGTCAAGGGGGTGAGGGATGACAAAAAGTCCAACACCCATATCTACAAATGAGGCGGACTGTGTGGATCTTCATATATTACAAAAAATTGAGACCTGATTTGACTACAGCAACAACTAAACTGCAACAAATTTGTATGACCTTTGCAAAGTGTATCTGTAATTATTTCTTACACCTCTTGGCCTACAAAGATAAAAACCTAGGGAAAAGCCACAGCTATAGTAAATACTGTCTTTAGACTGGCAGATCAAGGGCTGCCATAACCAGCCACACTGAATTTCAGAAAAATTGCCTCAGAAAGGTACACACTTGCTGTTCTGGCATATGAATATAAAGCCAATAAAGACTTTAAAGATCATCATCACAGACACACAATCCTGTGTGGGGCAAGAAAAGCATTTCTACAGACTGTAGCAGTTTTGGTACATATCACCAAGGCACTCTTCCCAGGTCTCCAAGCAGAGGAGAAGCCTTGAACTCAGCTGATACATGTGTGAAAGAGCTAACCTGGTACTCTGGAGAATTGCTGCCCTACTCACTGCATGTCACAAGATGCAACAAACCCCTCAATGATTTACATCACCAATGGATCATGTTTCCTGTACAACAGAGCATTTTTGGTTGAGTCACTCTATCTTTTATTTCTTTGCTGCCCTGGAAAAGACTGCACAGAATGGGGAGAACAATGATGTTTTTCCTCACAGATAACCAAATATAAAACAGAAGGTATAGAAGATAAGAGTGTTGAGAAATTATGCACAATGTAGCAATGCAGCATCACATCCACTAAGATGATTAAGGCTACAAAGACAAGCTACATACATTATAAGACAACTATTTTTATCCTTTTGGTCAAAGTCTTTCAGGCCACCTCTCAGAACCTATATTCTCAGTTTTCTCATACAATACTTTTTGCTAATTCTTTTGCAAAGGCAATGCTAGATTAAAAAAAACCTAATAAAAAGTGTCCTCCTTTCTCTAAAGCTGAGTTGTTTGATTTTACTGTCAAGACTTATGACATAAATTATGTCATAAATCATGCCTATAAAATACAAAGCCAAGAGCTAGAAGTTTAAAAAGGTACAAGAAAATGAAGACAGCTACAAAACTGCCCAGGTAAAAACTGCCAGCACAATATTCCATTTGGCTTTCTAGTAAACATTAGGAAAATCAAAAGAAGAGCAAGAATAGTAATAAAGAGATTAAATATAAATATTTTAAAAAGTAAACAGAGTACTAAACTACAGAAATTATATTCTTCTTACTGCTCACTTCTTTCAAATAAATATTCCTGATCTATGCATGGTATCTAGGACTGAACTGAAGAATAACATTCTACAACAATTAAGAGTGTAAAAAGGAAGAAAAAAAAATTGTTGAATATGAAAAGCACTAATACCAAGATGCACGAAGTTTCAGAATAACTGACATACAGACAGAATCAGAAAAAAAATCCAAACCCCAAACTAGACCATGCTTTGCAGCACAGCTTAAGAAAATCCTGGGCTACTATCAAGAAGAACCCCACACACTGAGGTCAGCCTGAATAACCACATAAATGCCTTTAACATGACATTTAACACAAACAGAAACCCTAAGTCAAAAGTCCTTAAATCAAATCCTCACTGAAGTTCTGATCAAGGCAAAGTTCTGAGGACAAAGTAAGCAAGTGACTGCATCTATCAAGTTGCTATTGGTCCTTCCATGGCACGCCAGCATGGACACAGCTGATAGAGTACAACCCTGAACTGAAAACGCTGGGCCCATAATTCTCTCCCACAATGCTGGCCCTTCCTGTGTCACCCAGCTTTAAAAGTCTGGAGGGAAGGCAGTTCTTGTAGCTTGGGGCACAAAGGAAAAAGTATTGTCTAGAGCTCAATTGCTGCAGGCCCCCACCCCCTCCCTTGCATGAGAACAATCCCATACACATGTAATATCCCATGTGAACTGCCAAACATACTCCCTTTTTACTCATTTTATGTATTTTGCTGCATGTATTTAACACAGAGAGAGAAGCATGAACTAGTTATTACCTTGAGTTTTGGGTGCACAAACCAAGTGCCTCACCTGCATACATGTGGTATGTCAGCCTCTCAATGAGCTTCACAACAGTTCCTGCCTTGATGATGGGGATTCCAGATTTGGGCTGCATGTTCTCTTCAAACACAATATTCTCTTCAGAGTCGGGTTCTGCAAATCTATAAAGCTCAGGATTTGGAAATCTCATCTGCTCCTCTTTTTCTTCCTGTAACATTGTTACATCCAACATCCTTTCCAGCGTGCTTCTATATTGCAAAGATATCAATGCTGCCATCCAGTTGTTTTTCTCTTCAGCTGATTTAGCAGCAAAAATAACACTGTTCTCATCTTTTAAGATGATTTCAAAAGCATGTCTATACTCATTAGTGTCATCTTTATCATTGATTTGTACCTTTCGCATGAAGAACTTCTCCTTGAGTCGATATTCTGCATTGCTAGCACCAGGAAGTCTTGGCTGGCCATGATTTGACTTACAGCAAATCATCAAGCCATCAAACAGGAATATGTGTCTCTCGTGCTTTGCTCCTACACGTGTGAGTGTTCCTTCCATGATGAACTCGTTACAGCACTGTCCAATGTCTTTACCCTCCCAACCATCAATATTTTTCTGGATTTCATTCATTTTCTTAATTGCTAGCTGCTTCCCCTTCATCTGCTGAGTATAGAACCGGCATGCGGATTCACTTCAGTGGAGGATGGGAAAAAGGCAGCCTGTTAGTACACATGCTTTTAAAAAAACACAACCACCACTAACACAAAAGCACCAGATCATCCTTATGAGAAGTGAGGATTTCACTGAGAATGCAATTTCATCATTCAATATCAGCACCATTGCAAAGTCTTGACTAAAGCATCTCATCTGAAAAATTTTCTACTTATCTTCAGCAATAGATGTTTACCTAAACACTAACAACCAGAGGCAGGCAAGCTGTGAGTGCTTCTTAGCCCAACAAGTCACTCACTTCCATAACCAACAGAACAATTCTAGATGGCATTAATTTGAAACAAGTACATTCAGAAAAAAAAGCTGTTAAATGTATTCATGTTCAAGCCGAAAGGTTACCCTTGGCACCACAAAAATTGTCTCGCAACAAAAATATTGAAACAATTTTAAGAGTAGTTTCAAATTCAAGAACATTACCTTCTAACCACACAGAAAGGTACTTTTAGAATATTTTTAGGTGGATATTTATTATCTGAGCACAATTAACCCAGCAATGCCGCAACTTTCTACTTACCAGTGAATTCTCAGAACGTCTCAACTACCAGTTTGCAAGGACACATAGAAATTAGAACTGTTTTAAAACAATAACAAATTATCTTGGCTTTGATGTCACTTCCTCTGAAAAAGCAGGCTTGTCACAAACTATTTTGTTCATTGTTTACTAAAAGAGGAAACCGGGAGCCCTGGATTTATAGCAAAGCATTAAGAGCAGAGAGCAGAAAAAGCGGAAACGTTTACCTAAGCCTTCGCTTTGCAAGGCTTTTGGAGCATATCCGTTCCATACTGCTTTGAAGATTTAGCAGGGCAGTTATTGCTTGCTTCAAGCACTCCTTATCCTCTTCATCCTCACTTTTTTCTTCCAATTGCTGTGAACATTGAAAATCAAAGACAGGAAGTGTTACAAGCATTTTGGTATTTGCAAATCCAGAAGTTTGACCCAGGAAGAAGAAATCTAACCTTCTGCTGATTTTCCATGCTCCTGCTTGTTATAGAAGTTAATGGTAATAACCAGGTGTGTTACTGACACAGGTGAGAGACAACTCTCTGCTAAGAGCTTAATCTCATTAAAATACAGCACAGTCACTAAGGTCTCCCAGATACAAACACACTCAGACGTGCAGTATTTATCTCAAACTGGTCTGATTTCCCTTACAGCTCCTTATTGGAACCCATTTCACGTGTTAAATCTTAAGAAGAACAAGAAATGAAGAAGACCCCCATACACACCATACTACAGGACAAGATCAAATGAGTCCATAACACATAAACATCCTGGAACAGGCAAGCTGGACCCAAAGCTAAGCAGAATTCCTTCATCATATTTAAAAATAGAAGATTACAAGGACTCTCACCTCATTAATAACAGCCTAATTAATAAATCAGGTGGAAGCAGACCTTGGAAATTATCTCAAGCCAACCTCCAGCACAACTGCAGAGCCAACACAAATCAAGTTGGCCAGAGCCACAATTAGTTTTGAATTTAAAAACTAAACTAAAACTGGATAAGAAGGATAAGAACACTTAATATTTTGTGTCTAACTATTGTTATGACAGGTAAATTTTTAAAACAAGATCTGCCATGTTAAAGATTGCTTGAAGATTTGCATCTCAAATCTTCATTTAAGCACTAAAATGTTTCACATGAGAGAAAAAATAGGTGACTACAGTTGTGGCTTAGATGTCAAACTGAAATAACATTTGTAGAATTATTAACAGACAAGCATTTTAGACTATCACACACCAAGAATTAGCTCCACACAATTGAAGAATTTGTTTTGGTGGTAGAAGTGAAACAAAGGCCAGTATGAACCAGAATGAGACGCCCTTGCAAAAAGTAAAATTGCGCTGTTTGATTCCAGTGTAAAATATAAGTATTGTCCTTCAAAATTCAACAGAGTACAACAGTCACGTTTGATATTTTAATGGGTCAGAGAACAGCACTAATTTCCCCCTAACTAGAGTTAATCATTCAATGCAACAGCTGTCAATGCCAAAGACTACTTTATTTGTTTTCAGCCATAAGCATGACCACAAAGTTTCTTCTAGGCAGCTTTGGTTCATGTAGTGTCATCTCCTGTGCTCTCAACCTAAGCAGCATTAGGTGGGAGAGCCTACTTGAGTAGCAACCACTGAAATAGGTCAGAGAATGCACCACAGCAGGCATTACTCCCCACAAGATCTTAGGGAGATTACATCATCCAGGAAGGAACAGACCACCCTTTTCATATTCCTCTACTCTCCAGATTTAATGGAGGTATCATCTCCCCTTTGCTTCAGTTTTGCAGATCTGGGTTCAGAGAGGATTTCAGACCAAGGAGGCAAGTCCACCACTGGCAGAAGTCTTGAAAGAAAGCTTTGAAAAAGCTGTAACTACCTCTAAGACTTTGCATATTTCCTGCACAAGGATTCAGAGAAGGCTCTTTGCCTTGTGTGCTGCCTTTTTACAAGCTTCCATCAAAACAGTCTGGCTGAGTTTCCTACAATTTCTGGGTTGCTACCCTTCAGCAGTGGAAGAGATTGTTTAAGCCCGGTCTCCTTGAAAATAAGCCTTACTAGGTCCTACAACATTCTGTACATGCTCTTGAGAAACAAACTAATAAAGATTAATTAACATACATTACTGCAAAGCATTCTGCTCTTATGTTGCTTTTTACAGCAACCTCTCTCCAGTTGCAAAAATGTTGGTATTTATCCATGTCCCAAAGCAAAACACATATTTACATATAGAGAAAGCAGTTAATACTTAGAAACTAAATCAAAATCCAGTGAGTGTAATTATGCTCCAAGTTTAACATTTAGAAAGTGCTGTGCAGAAATGTGTGTTGTCTTCTGTGTAACACCAACACAAATGGCAAGTCAAGCAATACTCTGAATCACTATGGAGACACTTATCTGGACACAGGAATTTGGAAGTTTATATTCCAGCATGGTACTGTACAGTTACCAAAACCAGACTTAACCAGAACTCAGTGTAAATTACAGCAATGATTTCATCTTACACTGCCCCTGGACAGTTTAGAAAAGGTGGAAAGTGAAATGGCATAACTGGAAAGCATCCAGAAAGTTTCTCTGCAAATCCCACTCATTCTTCTATAGCTGCGCAGTGCCCCCTAATGAAGAAACCAGGGAGATGCTAAGTACGTGGTGAGGGGGTTTTGTTTGTTTGGGGGTTGTTTGCTTTTGTTTGGTTTTTTACAGAAAGTGCGCTATACACTACAAAAAATAGTATAATATTATGTGAAGGAAGTGCAGACTTCTGATTATCAGTAGTATTATAGAGATTGTGGGTTTTAACAATCTTATGAGAAAATACTGGCTTATCATTCATGTGATTCACAATACTCCAGGCACAAGACACTGTTCATTCAAGGAAGAAAACTTGGAAAATAGACTGCTAAGGAAGTCTTTAACAAAAAGAAAGCAGTCTACATTCTAGACCACAATTTCTGAAGAGACACCAAGAAGTGAAAGACAAGGTATTTTGTTCTACCTGTTGCATACCACGGGCATTACATATTTATAAATTCCAAAGAGATAGAAAATAAATCCTTCTCATGCAGTGCACAATTAGACTGTGGCAGTTAACCTCTTACACTGTTAGAGAAGCATCTCTCTGGAAATACAGTGATAGAAAATACAGAGGAGAACCATAGCAGCAGGTGTCATGGCAGACAGGAAGTCTTCTTGAACTTTAGGGTTTGCATCACAACCTAGACTTCTGTCTTCTTCCCAGAAGATTAACCACTGAAATTTGTGAACTGCAAGTTCCCCAACTCCTCTGGGAATCAAGACCACAGCTTCAATACACAGAAGACAGAGCTATTTTGTAATCAACAATAAAAACCAACAGGGTTTCTTCTCTGAGCAAGGCAGGCAGGTCTGCTGGCACTTAGCCACAAACCAATCCTGGAAGGTGGCTCAACTCTCTGACTTTTTGTAATTCCTAAAAAAACCAAAAAACTCAGTCCAAAGCAGCAGTGTACTGGGGGCAAAGAAAGTGTTCTCATATCTAGAAGCTTTACATTTTTAGAAAGCATCAGGAAATCATATGGGACAGTAAATGGGGAGAACTGCAGGGAATACCATGCACTTCTGGAAAATGCTAGCAGACTAAAAAGCAACTCACACTTGAACCTTGAAGGAAACTCCACATGCCATATTCCTGAACATACATACATAGCTTCAATACACTGAAATTTGAAAAGTCATTTTGTTCTCATATAACCTCAGACAATCTCGAGCACAGTGCAGTAAAAATAGTCATACAGTTATCTGTTTATTTAGATCTACATTAGAGCAGGAGTGTCAGTTGCATTGACAGTGGAACAGAACTTAGTATCTTACTGAAGCAATGATAAAAACCTTTTCTCCACTCAAAGTTTAATTATGTCTTCTCAGTTTAATTTTTAAAAGCTACATAAAATAGCACATGACAAATATCAAACCCCAGATATCAGATAATTAGTTACAAAAAGCCTTCAGAATTCTCTTGGAAGTACATTTTAGAAGACGCAGATGCTAAAAGGCCCTCGTTTTTTATTTCATGTTATGTTTAACTCACAATATAAAATATGATCAACCCACTGGGAAGCATACTGGACAAGTAAAGCATCAAAACAGAGGAAAACAAAAAGCATTTAAACTTGTAGTACAAGATTCCTTGTTCCTTCACCTCTTTACTATGTGACTTAAAATAGGTCCTAAATATATGTTGAAAATTCAAGTACATCAAATGTCATCCGAGCCCAAAAAACGTCAAAACATTTGGGCTAAAGAAACATGTGAATTTAAGGAATTGTTACTTTGATTACCCAATGTGAACGTTCTTATTTCGGAAGGGGTGTGTGTGTATGTGTGAAATTAAAATAATTATGTTTCAGAATTGAATTACATTACTCTGAAGTGCAATTTTGAAAATTAGGATGGACACTGAGGAGAAGTCAGGAAGACCCATTGAGAACAGCATACTACACAAGTCTGTCAGCTGATGTTTCACCAATTCAACAGATCAAAAGGTTTCTTATGTGGCCAATTTGCCATTAGCATTCCCATAAAGGGGTACAGCCTGTCAGAAGACCATATTCCACATTTCCTCCAGGGCTACAGAACCTGCTAAAGTGTTTTACCTGGTGTCTCCTCAGCAGGAAGAGGTGCAAGTTTGCTCTCAGTTTCTGCAGCTGGGAAGGGATTCAAGTATGCAATCAATGTTAGGTTACACACTCAGCATCTCCTTCACCAAGGAAGGAATAGAAAAGCAAAGCTTTTTTTCAAATGTCTTCTCTGAGGTTTTCATGAAACTATTTCCTAAACATTCAGACTTTTTGTAGGCTACTAGCAGCCATTTATGCATTTTACATTCCATTACTGGGAATGGCTACTTTGCCTATAGGAGGCCTTGACTTCTCAAAGTACAGAAAACCCATTTGCTCTGCATTTTTCAGAAATATGGGGTTTGTTTTTTTTTTTTTTGCATGTGCTGATGTCTCCTCCACAGCAGCATCATTACCTTTCTGCAACAAATGTACAAGTTCACACAGATCCTTCCAGAGCCTTCATGCTCTGAAACTCTCTTCTCTCTTACTGTCACTTTGGTTTGTCTCATCACTATTAGCAGACCTGCAGAATACATTAGAAATTTAAAACTCATAATTTAGTTCATAACATTTAGTTAGATCAGTATTTGAAATATCACAGAATATTTACCTATGTGCTACCACACTTGTAATTGAGGTCTTCCATCTTCTTCCCCCAAATTTTCCATCAAAGTAAAGACAATGCAATTTGAAAACATCTTCCCTTTCTCTTTTGTAATTCCAAAGTGGATTAAAATCCACTTTTTCTGCTTCAAAACAATTCAAGTCCGATC